GGGTCAATAAACCAGGAGGCCATAATCATAATAAATATTTACCCACCCAATGACAGGGCTCAAAGATACATAAAACAAACTCTAACAGCATTGGAAAGAGAGATAGACAGCTCCACAATAATAATAGGAGACTTTAACTCACCACTTTCAGTGAATGACAGAACATTCAAAAGAAGCTCAGTGAAGACACAGAAGATTTAAATGCCACAGTCAACCAACTCGACCTCATAGACATATGCAGAACATTCCACCTAACAGCAGACAGTATATTTTCTTTTCCAATGAACATGGAACATTCTCCACAATAGACCACATATTAGACCAAAAAGCAAGCCTTAACAAAATCCAAAGCACTGAAATAATACAAAGTACCTTTTCTGACCATGAAGCCACAAAAGTGGAAATCAATAACAGAAAAAACAAGGAAAAAAAATTAAACATATGGAAACTGAACAACACCTTGCTCAAAAACTACCGGGTTATTGAAGAAATTAAGGACGGAATAAAGACATTCACAGAATCAAATGAGAATGAAAACACTTCCTACCAGAACTTTGACACAGCAAAAGCAATGCTCAGAGGTCAATTTATAGAAATACATTCACACATCCAAAAAGAAGAAAGGGCCAAAATTAAGACATTAACTCTACAACTCAAATAACTAGAAAGAGAGCAGCAAAAGAAGCCCTTGGGCACCAGAAAAAAAACAAATAATAAAAATTAGAGAATTAAATGAAACAGAAAATAGAAAAATAATTGAAAGAGTTAACAAGACCAAAAGCTGGTTGTTTGAAAAGAACAACAACAACAAAAAATATCAATACACCATTGGTCAAACTGACAAAAGAAAAACAGGAGAGGAAGCAAATAACCGGAATAAGAAACGAGGTAGACGATATCACAACAGATCCAACTGAAATTAAAAGAATCATAATACAATACTATGAAAAATTCTCTTCTAACAAATTTCAAAACCTAGAGGAAATGGAGAAATTTCTAGAAACACACTACCTACCTAAACTAACACAAACAGAGTTAGAACAACTGAAAAAAAAACCTATAACAAAAGAAGAGATTGAAAAGGTAATTAAAAATCTCCCAACAACAACAAAAAAAAAAGGCCCTGGCCCTGACAATTTAAATGGCGAAGTCTACCAAACTTTCAGAGGAGAGTTAACACCATTACTACTAAAGGTATTTCAAAGCATAGAAAATGATGGAATACTCCGAAACTCATTCTACGAAGCCAGCATAACCCTGATACCAAAACCAGGTAAAGACACCACAAAAAAAGAAAATTACAGACCAATATGCCTCACGAACGTGGATGCAAAAATCCTCAACAAAATTCTAGCCAATAGATTTCAACAACATATCAAAAAAGTAATTCACCATGATCAAGTAGGATTTATACCAGGTATGCAGGGATGATTCAACATTAGAAAAACAACCAATTTTATCCATCACATAAATAAAACAAAAGACAAGAACCACATGATCGTATCAATTGATACCGAAAAGGCATCTGATAAAGTCCAACACCCATTCATGATAAAAACTCTCAGCAATTCCTCAATATAATTAAGAGCATTTATACAAAGCCAACATCAAACCCTAAATGGAGAGAGTCTGAAAGCATTCCCCTTGAGAACGGGAACCAGACAAGGATATCCTTTATCACCACTCTTATTCAACATTGTGCTGGAGGTGCTAACCAGAGCAATTAGGCTAGAAAAAGAAATAAAGGCAATCCAAATTGGTAAGGAAGAAGTAAAAGTATCTCTATTTGCAGATGATATGATCTTATACACAGAAAACCCCAAGAATCCCCAAGAAAAGTACTCAAACTAATAGAAGATTTCAGCAAAGTATCAGGATACAAGATAAACACCCAAACATCAGTTGGATTCCTCTACACCAGCAAAGAGAATTTTGAAGAGGAAATCATCAAATCAATATCATTTACAATAGTCCCCAAGAGGATAAAATACTTAGGAATAAATCTAACCAGAGACATAAAAGACCTATACAATGAAAACTACAAGACACTACTGGAAGAAACAAAAAGAGACCTGCATAAGTGGAACCATACACATTACTCATGAATAGGGAGACTCAACATTGTGAAAAAGTCAATTCTACCCAAAGCAATCTACAGATATGATGCATCCCGATCCAAATTCCAAGGGCATTTTTTAATGAGATGGAGAAACAAATCACCAAATTCATATGGAAAGGGAAGACTCCCCGGATAAATAAAGCATTACTCAAGAGAAGAACAAAGTGGCAGGCCTCACACTACCTGATTTTAGAACCTATCATACCACCATGGTAGTCAAAACAGCCTGGTAAATGGTACAAGAACGGATACATAGACCAATGGAAGAGAATTGAGAATCCAGATGTAAATTCATCCACCTACGAGCAGCTTATATTTGACAAAGGCCCAAAGTCCGTTAATTGGGGGAAAAGACAGTTTCTTTAACAAATGATGTTGGCATAACTGGATATCCACCTGCAAAAATATGAAACAAGGCCCATACCTCACACCGTGCACAAAAACTAACTCAATATGGATCAAAGACCTAAATATAAAATCTAAACGATAAAAATCATGGAAGAAAAAATAGGGACAATGCCAGGAGCCCTCAAACATTGCATAAACAGAATACAAACCATAAGTAACAACACACAAACACCAGAAGAGAAACTAGATAACTGGGAGCTCCTTAAAATCAAACACTTATGCTCATCAAAAGACTTCACCAAAAGAGTCAAAAGACAAACTACAGACTGGGAAAGAATTTTTGGCTATGACAAATCTGATCAGTGTTTAATCTCTAAAATCTACAAGATACTGCAAAACCTCAACAACAAAAATACAAATAACCCAATTAAAAAATGGCCAAAGGATATGGACAGACACTTTACCAAACAAGACATTCAGGCGGCTACCACATACATGAGGAAATGCTCATGATCATTAGCCATTAGAGAAACGCAAATCAAAACTACAACAAGATACCATCTCACACCAACAAGGCTGGTATTAATCCAAAAAACACAAAATAATAAATGTTGGAGAGGCTGTGGAGAGACTGGAACACTTATACACTGCTGGTGGGAATGTAAAATGGTACAACCACTTTGGAAATTGATGTAGTGCTTCCTTAAAAAGCTAGAAGTATAAGTACCATAGGATCCAGTAATCTCAGTCTTCGGAACATATCGTAGAAAAATAAGAGCCGTCACACGAATAGATATATGCACACCCGTGTTCACTGCAGCGCTGTTCATGGTAGGAAAAAGGTGGAAACAAGTTAGGCGCCCATCAACGGACTATTGGATAAACAATTTATTGTATATTCATACAATGGAATACTATGTAACGATAAAGAACAAGGATGAATCTGTGAAACATCTCATAACATGGATGAATCTGGAAGGCATTATGCTGTGTGAATTTAATCAGTCACAAAAGGACAAATATTGTATAAGACTACTATTATAAGAACTCAAGAAAAGGTTTAAATAGAGAAGAAAACATTGTTTGATGGTTACGAGGGTGGGAAGTGAGGGAGATGGGTATTCTCTAACTAGTTAGTAGATAAGAATTATCTTAGGTGAAGGGAAGGACAACACACAATACAGGAGAAGTCAGTGCAACTAGACTAAACCAAAAGCTAAGAAATTTCCTGAATACAACCAAACACTTTGAAGGACAGAGTAGCAGGGGCGGGGGTCTGGAGACCTTGGTTTCAGGGACATCTCAATTGGCATAACAAAGTTTATTAAGAAAATTTCCGCATCCCACTTTGGTGAGTGGTGTCTGGGTTCTTAAAAGCTAGCGATCAACCATCTAGGATACATCAATTGGTCCCAACCCACCTGGAGCAAAGGAGAATGAAGAACACCAAAGATTCAAGGAAAATATTATCCCAAGAGACAGAAAGTGTCACATAAACCAGAGACTCCATCAGCCTGAGATCAGAAGAACTAGATGGTTCCCAGCTACCACCAATGACTGCCCTGACAGTGAACACAACAGAGAGTCCTTAACGGAGCAGGAGAAAAGTGGGATGCAGAACTCAAATTCTAGTAAAAAGACCAGACATAATGGTCTGACTGAGACTGGAGGGACTCTGGAAGACATGGCCCCCAGACACTCTGTTATTCCAGGACTGAAACCATTCCTGAATCCGACTCTTCAGACAAAGATTAGACTGAACTATGGGACATAAAATGATACTCGTGAAGATAGTGTTTCTTAGCTCAGGTAGATACATGAGACTAAAAGGGCAGCTCCTGTCCAGAGGTGAGATGAGACGGCAAAAAGGGACAGGAGCTGGTTGAATAGACATGGGATATCCCGGGTGGAAAGAAGGAATGTGCTGTCACATTATAGTGAGAGCAGCTAGGGTCATGTAGCAATGAGTGTTTAAATTTTTGTATGAGAAACTGACTTGAACTATAAACTTTCAGTTAAAGTACAGTAAAAAAAAGCAATTGGCTGAGTTATTGCAGGCACCGATTTCTCAGTCATCAGCACCTACAGAAATGATTGACTTGCTTGGCTATGTACTCCAGGAAGGCATGACTCGTCTACTGGCATATCCCCAAAACCGCTAGTAAAAACAATTACAAGAATAATCTATGTTCAAGAGAATGAGCCTAGCCAATTCAATCCTATTTTAATAATGGGAAATGTCATGCTTCCCATAAGGCTACCATTTCCTGAACAAAATAATTTTAAATGTCAGAGGAAAGCTGCCATGTTGTTAAAATGACTATATTCGGTGAGAAAAAACATCATTTTAAAACAAGACAAAGAAAGCACAAGATTCTTCAAAGAGTGGACCCCAAACCATCACTTTGAAGCAAAAACCACAGATTACTTCAAAATATGAGTTAAATGACCAAGATTCCAAGTCAGACTGAATACAGCACAGCTTTTTAAACCAAACATTATTTTTAAAAATCTTTATAAACTTGCACATTACCTGGTAATTGTTTTGGTTTTGTGATAATCTCAATTGGTTTGATGTTGCAAAATGTGGGGAAAAATTACTCCGTGATAGATTTGCATTACTGTACATTGTACTAGATGCTGTATGTAATGAGGTCCGTTGTGCCAAGTGGTAGTCTCTGTTTTGATACAGTACATTGTCTGACAAGTCTCTAATATTCACCATTTGTGAATTTGACATATTTCTTCCTGGTCCAGACAAAGTTGTACTTTGGTTCTCAACTCGAAGGGAACTGCCACTTTCATAAAACCTTGAGTAGCTTGGTATCTGTGCTCCCATTGATGCCAACTCTTCCTCTCTGGCATACTCATCATCAGCATTTCCAGTCTCCATTGCAATAGACAAACAAGTTCCTTCGGCTGAGCTAGGCTTCTGTGGGGTATTTCCTCCCAGAATTCTCTGAGGGTAATCACTAACTGCCAATGAAAATACTTCACGGATTTCTAAGTTTTGTGTCCTACAGTAAGGGTCTCTAATAGTTGGTTTTTGCCCATATGAGTTATGTGAAGTCAGACCAGTGTGTTCAGGCTTATATGATCTTTGAATCCCAATTGGTTCAATTTTGCAAGGTCGGTGGCACACAGATGGTTTTTGGGGTACCATCATTTCAGAAGATTGCACTGAAGAGCTTCCATAGTTTTTCTTCGAGGGATTGTATGTTGAGTTTCCAGAATTTAGCACACTTGTCTGTCTCGACAAAATAATTGTTTTTTCTCCTAGGAGCAGGGAGGCATTTTTACAGTGTGCTACTTGTCTTTGAAGAGGAATGTGCAACTGAAACTCAGTATCATTTTTACTGGTGGTTTTCTGAATAGGGATTTTATGTGCTTCTGTAATATGTGTATTTGTATGTTTGGTTGTCCCTTGCCTACTTGATGAACTGGCTGGACTGTATATACCAGTTACAATGACATCATTATTGCCAGATGTCCAAGAAGACTGTTGGTTTGAGGGTCGAGCAATATTAACCACATTTCTGACTGTAACATCTGGAACTGCCAAAGAAGTACCGGAAACAGTTCCTGGTGTTGCTGCTCCTGATTCAGAATTCTTACTACTCATTTTTCTTCTCTTATTGCCAACCCACGTCTGGAAGCACAAAAAAAAATGATATTATGAAAATAAAAAATCTTAGCAATGGACCAAAAAAACTAATGGGTATACAATAAATTATATTCTTCTTTGTCATAGAAACAAGACCTATACAAAGGAAAAAAGAAAAACTAACTAAAATATAAGGTCAAAGATGATCAAGGGTTCTAGTATGTATAGACTCACAATAAATATCTACAGGCTACTCTCCTTCTCAGAATCCAGTCAATCAATATTTAGCAAGAACCCTAAAAATATTTATATCCTTTGACCTAGTAAATCCACTTCTGGGAATTTGTCCTAAAAAATAATCAAAGATGCAGACAAAATTTATGTTCAATGATGTTCATTAGATAATTATTTGTATTAGTGAAAAATAGGAAGCATAGTAAAGATAGGATTTTTAATGACATTGGAAAATGCTCATAGTATTGTTAAACAAATATACATCTGAAATATTCATGTTTAATGACTTTTGTTGTACGGATATACCATAACTTAGTTAATTTTATATTGTTAGATATTTAGATTATTTAGAATTCATTACTAGAAACCACACTGCAATACACATCTTTGTACATGCATCTTTGTGCTGTCATTGCATTATAATGCAATCTTAGAAGAGAAATTGTTGGACTTTTGAAAACATATTTTCAAAGTGTCCTTCAGTGTATGAGAGTTCTGGTTTCCTCACACCCTCACCAACACTTTGCATTATCTTTTCTTGAAGTTTTTACTAGTCCAGATTCTAATAAATGGTATATAATTGCTATTTTGATTTACAATTCTATGGCTACTATATTACTCTGATAGAATTGCCTGTCCATTAACGTTACCCACTTTTATATTGGTGTGTTTGTCTTTTAAAATTGATTTGTATGAGCAATTTTCCTACTAAAGATAGTAGCAAGTTATCGCAAGTTGCAAATATTTTCCCCAGCTAGTCATTAATTTAATAGCAGTTATTTCTTTCTTTACACTTTTCTCTGCTTGCCAAATTATATATAGTGAATATGTGTTACTTCTATAAACAGAAAAACTGTTACCAATAAAAACAATACCAGTGTTTGGCATTCAGGATTTGATTTAAAAAATTGTATTTTTATATAAGTAATTTATTATAATTATATTAGTATTATTATGCTGAATCACGATTCTTCTTGAAACAGGCAAGAGAACATATTAGATTACATAATGTGATTATCAAACTTTATACCGTATTTTTACACAAATGACGTGTGCCTTCTATGGTTATTAGCCAACTGCTCCTTCCCCCCATTACGTATTTCCGTCAGCACCATTATGCCATTTTTGTTACATGTTGCTGTAAAAAAATAGCATAATGTGCTTATGAAAATACCTCACAGGGGGAGGGAATAGTTGAAAAACAAATGTAGAAGGTGTGCATTATGTGTGTAAAAATGTGGTAATTATTTCAAAATGCATGCCATACTATAAACTACCAAAATACATGAATATATTAAGATAAAAACACAAACAAAAAATTAAATGAACTAGCCTTGCACACACATGGCAAGATGTATTTGGTTAACTTTTGTATTATATGTTTCTGAAGAGCACATAAATTACCCAATTTTAAATGTTTATTTATACTATATACGGAATTAATGATGCTGTAATACTATAAATAAAAGCTAACATGTATTGAATACCAATTATGTGTTCTTCACATATACTAGCTTCTTTGGTCAGTGTTATTTTCCTAATTATATAAATGAAGAAACTGAAGTTCAGAAAGATTAGGTAGCTTGTGGAAGCTTATCCTGCCAGCAAGTGGCAGAGCAAGGATTCAAAGTAAAATCTATCTGACCTCAAAGCACATTCTCCTTCCACTACACCACAAGTAGTGGCGAGAAGCTCCTGAAATAGTCATCCCTGTTGGTCATTTACTTTTCTAATTAGTATTTCTCCCATGAAAAAAAAATTCCAAAAACCAAGATGCTCCATGTTGATTCACATGGGGTTGCGGGAATTTAAAACTCACTCTCATTTACTTTCACTAAAAGCAGAAGTGAGAAGTACTAGCTGAGGGACATATGAATATAAATGTCACAGGGAAAGGAGGCAAGGAAGAAAAACTAAAATATTTTAAAGTATATACTTGACGAATATTTAAAAATACATGTCTTTGGATAAATGAAATTTCAGTTTATTGCCCAAAAAGGAGAATTTTACAAATATTCAAAATAAGTTGCCATGTTATGACTTTTCAAGTAAGAAAAGCACATACGGCAAGCATGATGAATTTGTTCATAATTTTCCAAAAAATATAAGCATTACATTAAAAAAAAAGCTTTTAATGGGAAAGCATACTTAATTGGTAAAATTTGAACTCAAGAATTACTACATCTAGAGGGCCACTTTGAGCCATATTTCTAAAACAAACAACAAACAAATGAACAACCTACTGTGCTCTCATCACACAATACTTACCTTAACTCAGGAAGAATAAGAGTTATCTTAGTGCATTACAAATTTATGGCTTATTCAATACTAGGTTACTAGATATTTATATTACACACCCATCAAATGTAAAATGTAGTAGAATAATATCAAATGCATATGAATACGAAACTCGCTATCAAACAACTTCACTTATCCAGAACACAGCCAACAAAGATGTCACAAGATCCATGTAGTTTAATAGTAGGACAACCTTGATTTAAATCTCACTTTCTCTCATTGTATAAATGATTAACTGATTGTATGCATAATTTTAATAAATCTGGTTTCTAAATCTATAACAGATTAGAAATAACAAAATAGAAGGGAATATTTGAGATAGAAGTCTCTGTAGACGGGCACCCTGACAGAAACAACAATAAAAAAAGTGACTGCTTTTTTTAGGACAAGTTACAAGAAAGGAAACTCATAACAAAACAGATGTGAGAAGTTGTGAAATAGCAGTCTGGGATTCTTTAGTAAAAGGGAAAATAACCCCATATATTATACCAAGCTGTGAGCATTGTTACATTATAGCACAATACAATAATTGATGTCAATAATTAAAGCTCTGAGTCAAAAAGTAAGTTTTCAAATATTTTCAATGTTCTCTGTTGAAGAAAAGTAGGAAAGTATATGCTTAAGAAATACCTACATTAAAAATTTTGAAAATAAAGAAAGTTAATTGTCAAGGGTACCCAATAACTGAATTAAGCTTTACTAAAAGCTGTTCAGTTGCAGGATCCAAAATTTACCAATGCTTATCAGATATAAATTATTCTCATTACAAATGCCTCATTGGTGAGAGGGAAAACTAGGTCAAACAAAACTGATGTGATAAGAATTTGGGGTTAAGAACAAACAAAGCAATACTACTTAGAAAAAAAAATGAAAGGAAAGACATTTGGATTACCAATCCTTGGTGACCATAAAATTCTTTTTCAGCTCTCTCTTAGAAACTCACTGTCTCTAAACCTCTTTTTCTTTTCTATGCCTCCTTGTTTGTTGTCCTGCTCCTTAACCCCCCTGTATTTATTCATGCTTGGATGTTTTAACCCTTTAAAGTTCTCTTAACGTTGGGATCAAGTTCTTACTACAGTGAGATTTGATTTCTTTTAAGAAAAAAACCAATGGATACTATATTTAAAATAATAAAGAAAGGTCTCTTTCAAGTAGAACATATATATCTATGAAATCATGGGAGGGGGGATTACAAAGTGATGAGATGATAAACAACTCCCTTCTCTGACTGGAAAAGCCACAAGATTGTGTTGGAGTTTAGGTTAGGAGGACGGAATTTCTGTACAAGTTAGACTCTTCTGGAATGGAAGGAATGAATTTAGTTTACACAATTGCTTACAATTTACATAACATTTTACTTATAATCTTATATTACAGGAATTTATTTCCTTCATTCCCATTGTTTATTTTAGATTTCACCCCATTTGGAGCATAAGTATAAATCTCTGTATTTCAACACCCTCAATTTTAGAGCACAAACAAGCAAGTAATTGGAGTAAGAATGCAATAACAAATTGGAAATATGAAAGATAACAGTCTACAATACAGCTGCCTGAGAAGGCTTTTCACTTAAAAGTAATGGTAAAATAGAAGGAAATTATTGCAAGAAAAAAAAAATCAAAATGAGCTTGTACTTATAAAATGCAATCTCATCACCTTGAAATAAACATTTTGACATTACTTTTTCTAAGGCATTAAACATTTTTCTGTGAGGTTTAGTAAAGGTATTTCAAATAGGGCATTTAGAACTATCAATAGGGAACATTTCTGAGTATGATGGTTGAGTTCAGCAAATAAGAAACAGACATTCTAGATATTTTTGTCCTAGACTTGGTGACATAAGTCCTTATTTGAAGGTGAATATATATCCTTTAGTCATTAAGAAGGACATTCTCCAAAGAATTCTGCTTATCAAGAATTTTTTATCTTTAGAGTCTTTGAAGGAAAGTCCAGCAGAAAAATAAACTTAAAAACAAACGTCCTTTTTCTTTCCCAAATTAGCTAATAAATGCCAAGGATGGGAAAGCTGCTAATCTTTGAATCACTATGGTTTCACCCCAGGAGAATTTGGAGCGTGCTCAAACAAACGTGAAAGAACCTATGTACTCAGTAAAATCTGTGACTAGTTCTGTTAGATTTACCTCTTGCCTTCTTTCTATCACCTTCTCATTGCCTTTCACAAACGAGTAGCAGCTCTGATTTTTGTAGCTGAATGACTAGGGTTGGGAAAAAGGAAAATTTCCCTCCTTTGGATTTCTTGTGCCTTACTTGATAACCCATTTAAATGCATGAATTTTCCTTAGAAGGAAGATGAGGTATTAAAAAAAAGTTATGCTTTCCTAAAAAGATAAAAATACTGAAGTCATAAATGCTTGATGAAAAACTAAAATACAACAAGAAAATCTGCTAGGCACACAATAGACCCTCAGTAAACGTCTGTTTTACTGTTATCATTTAGTTCAAAGGGCTAGAGTTTTTTAAGATATGTTTACATTGTAAAGGTCTTAGGGTTATCAAGAAATTTCTAGAAGCAAATAAATACATACTAAAATATTAGCTCTATCTTTTAAAAATTAGTATTGTTATACCAGGGAAATTAAGTTGTTTATAAAGTTAGTGCATCCCCTGAATATTTTTTCTTATATTAAGCAATATCACTTGTAATAAAATGCTATAAATTTGAGAGTGGAAGACCTCAATACTTACCCTGACTACACTGAAGTCCAGCTTAGTCTCCTGCGCACACTGTAATATGAGCTGAAAGCAATTTTTACTTTGATTTGTCATTCCATTTTCATAATAACGCTGTAAAATCCTTTGTTGTTCTACAGTAAATACAGAACGTAGATTCATCTAAAAATAAAAGAAGATACTCTGAAAATTGGAATAAATATTGGGTATGTGTAGAATTTGCATGCTTTCAATTTTCAATACAATTTCAGTGCTTCCAAGCTGCAGGATTTCTTTAAGCGACTTAATCCCTAGTAATGGGTAATAATTTGTGTGCTAAAGGGAGATAGGTTCTCACTAAAAAAAAAATATGTTATGCAAACAGTTACTGAATTTGTTCAGAAAAAACCACCAACTTTAAAGACAAAAAGAAGAAAATTAAAAAAAAAAAAAAAAAAAAGAGGAAAGCCCTTATCTGCTTAGTGTCAATGTGTGGGAAAAAAGGTTCTTTCACTGAAATAAATATTTATGGCTAGTAAAGCAGGGCATGGTGGTAGCCGTACGTGGTCAATTATCAATAGGGACACTCACTGTTCTTTGTCAAGCAAGGCATCTGGCATATGTCTTACAGCCAGAAGCTGCACTCTGGAACAAAAGGGTGTTTTTATTTTTCCTCTTTCTGAGATAAAGCAGTTCTTTTTACATATTAAAACAAAACCTCTCCTTTAAAGCTTAAAAATAAACAGGAAGGTTTTGTGACTGTGAAAATGTTTTTTCTTTAGGCAATACTAAATAAAATATTTTAATAACTATAGCATATAAATTAAAATTTAAAATAGTATATTAAATGTACTATTTATTTTGTATTAAAATTAAACTATGCAAAATATTTTAAATAAATTGACATTATAATTAAACAAGAGAAGTAAAAAATATATATACCGCTTTATCCAACCTGCCAATAGGTAAGGTATTTAATATTAAGGGAAAATAACTCTGTGAATCTCACAAATAAAAAGCAGGCTCAACTCTCAAAAGATGAGTTCTAGTAGTATATTTTATAAAGAATAACCCTTGTAATAAAATTAAGGCAATTTCAATTCTTGTTAAAAACTATCCCAATGAAATTGTTATTCCTAAAAGTAAACAGAAAGAAAATCTTTCCCAGGGAAAGTGTCTTTTCAAAACTAGAAAAATAGTAACAACAAAAATACTACTAGCCAAAATGAACATAAATCTTTCTAGTATACAGCATATGGACACAAATAAATACATTGAAATGGAAATAAAAAATTATCTCCCTTTCTCCAAATATTTTGAACAGTAAAGTAGTCTAATATGGAAATGAAAAAGCCATACTGCTGTCCACTGCAATTTGTTCACCTGACTGTTTCTTACCCATATATCTTCCTGTCTAATGGTAAGAAATCCGATTAGAGAAAAATCAGAAGTGAGAGAGGGCACAAGAAAGATGTGAATAGAGTTTCTTCCTTTCTGGCATTGCCAGGGAACAAGGAGAAAGAAAAAAAACACAACAAACAAACAAAAAGTCCACTAATTTTCTAAAGGGTTCTCATTCACCAAATATAGAAATATAAACCCATTATCTGCAACCCAACCAAACTTTCAAGGATTTTGGGCCAGTAGGCTGGGACAGCAGTCATCAAAGCAATCTTTATTATCATGGCTTACAGCTTTCAGAGCAATTCGAGGTTCCATATCCTAAATGGTTCAGCCACATTCAAGAGAAGAGCCAGATGATGGAGGGCAAACACCTGAAATACTACTCCCTCTTACCTGGTGAGGATTTAGAAGTAAGATATTTTGGAAAGGGTTTTGTGGAGGGTAAACGTCAATTCACTAATGCACAATCAGAGGAATGGCTCTGATCCTCCTCTGCAGGGTTGTAACTACCACAAAAAGCCTAGAGTGTGAGGTGTGGGTGATACTCCCAATTGTGCTAACTCTCCTAATAATATAGGAAAGCTTTCTTATTGGCTGGCTGTAACAGTTATTCTTTCCCAAGTGTGATACAAACCTCACAAAGCATAGCATGTCCTTCCCCACTGATACCAATAGCCAAATATAGGTGACTGAATACTAAACAGATTTTTGGAGACCACAACTGTGTCATCAGACAGTGCTATGACCTTTTCAGTTTTTCGCATAAATTTAGTAACAACAACATTTTGCTCAAGGGATCTATTATTTTTCTTTCAAATTTTTGGAGATTCATTATTTGCCACAAAAACTCAATAAACCCGTATGAGCAAGATAATTTGTCATTATCTCCACCCACATTTGAAAGATATGGAAAGATTGCACAGCCAAAGTTCTTAATCATTACCCAAAAAATCAGGAAGTGAGTTAAAAATCTTCATTTTTGAGGTTAGGTTCTTACTTATTTGGAAGATAAAATGATAGGAAATTGATTTCACACGAATCGAGGTCCACTGGGTTGGAGTGCAGAGGGTGGCTGGACTGGGGGATTACATACTGAAATAACAAAAAATTTCACCTTATCCCAACGTTTCCTAATCTAATACTCTGCACTGTACCACCCACTCAGAACATACCAGCCCACAAGAATACAAAATCTGAGTTCTACTCTCAGATCCACTGCTAACTATTGAGATGACATTGCTCATAATCTCTACGAGCATCATTTCCTAGTCCACAAAATGTTGGATCATGTGACTTGTTCTGCTTACCAGTCTGGGTGGTTGCAAATAAATTAGGATATGTGAACTAATTTTTTTAAATTGTAAATTAAATATAAATATGTCACAGTTGTAACATATTTATAGTTTTAACACAACTATTTCTTTCATCTTATCTATCACATTCAGGTATAGGATTTCTAAGGTCTTTCTAAGCTTTAGGATTCTGTGTTTTAATGAGCCATTGAGAAAAGATTAAATTACACACAGTAGGTTCTATTCAAGCAGGTAGAGAGCAGCGAGTAAAATATTTTAGATTTTGTTGCTTTTAAAGTACCTGAAAAATATAGTTTCTAGGAATGACTCCTTCCTTAAGGGTTCTAGATAGCTAAGGCATATGACATTTTCACGTAGAAATCTTTCAGATAAATTCCTATATAACATAGTTCTTATATATTTAATGCCATAGTTAAAACCAGCTCAACGCTGCCATAATGCCTTAACTGGTTAAATCATTGGAAAAGTACCAACAAATATTTACTCATAAGTATTCATTCTTGAAAATGAGATGAGTCCGTTAAAATAATCAACAATTCAAATATAACATGTTCTTTTCAATATTAAAAATCTGAATTTGGGGTAAACCATTGGTGTTTTGTTTATCATCAAAGAATTGAGCCCAGAGTAATATAATGCCTTGAATATTTTTATCTCGGCCATCAAGTCTATATTAACATCATCCTTTTTTCTATTTTTCCTTTTTATTTAATCAAAGACTGGCAGACAAATATAAATATAGTGCAGTTACTTCAGATCATTTTTCACACTGCATACACATAGACTGATGAACTTATTCTGAAAGAAACCTGCAGTCAGCAATGAAATGCATACAATTTTTCCTTACCTCACTCAAAAAAAAAATTAACACACATAAACTTAGAACCTCATCAGCACACATTATCCTGTGACAAATGATTCAGACATAAATAGTGGGTACAAAGAAACTATATGTTAATGTATGTTTAACCTTTGTCAATGAAAAAAACAGAGGCATCCATCATGATTAAGATGTATTCAATTACTGATAACTAGTTGTGTCTAAAGGGACATTATCAAAAGAGAAATTGTACTGCAGCAAAAAGGTATATATGGATACACAATGAGAAAATAAACTGCCAAATTATTACATTAAACATTAATACATGCATGGTTAATACTGGAAAAATCGCAGCTCTCCAAAATTTCTCCATGTTTGTTATAAAAAGCCCTTTGCACTCAACTAAAATTACAATGATCTTAAAAGGATAATACTTGTAAAGTTTACTTAAATCTTTTCAGCCACGGAAACGGCAATGGAAATAAATGTTCAGAATCATTTTCAAAACAAAAACAAAAATTTATTCTTCAGTTGACCTGCATAATTAAAAGGTCTATGCAAAACACATTACTCTGCATTCCCCATGACTAGGGAAAAAAAGCTCAAGTCAATTTTTAGTTTGCAGACTGTCAAAGGATTTTGTATTCCAGTAGGAGTTCAAATCTTCTGGATCTTTTCACCAACAACTACTGGATTTTCTTTTCTAATTTTCTCACAGCATCAGCTTTGTAATTGTAAGAGCAATTGTATACATCTGAGTTAACAATGTACACATTTCCACACCGGCATTCAAACCAAGTAAATCCCACTTTCTTTTTTGTGTATGAAACAGCGACTCTTCTTTTGTTTTCCAAGAGACTTGTTTTGCTCTTCAGATGGTTGTTGTGTGGTATCTGGTACTGAAGATGGAGGATCACATTCAAGAGAAACAATGCCCACTACTCTGAGGCCTTGCAAAACTTCTGTTTCAAGTATTGCTTTCTCCAGAGATGCACTGTCCGCTTGGGAAGATGCTACAGATTCTGATAAAAGTGACTAATTTGGTACAGGACTTGAATGTATAGATGAAGATGTAGGGACTAACGATGACTGAGCGTCTGGGACACTGCCATCTGTGCACTGAACTGGTAAAGATTCAGACAAACTACTGACACATTTCAGGTGGGCTTATTCTACCATTGCTACTATTCTGTCTTTGAAGATGTTCCTTATAGCATATTGAATACATGCCATTTGTATGAAGATTTCCATAAAATCTCTAGCCTGTGGAACAAAGCACAGGCACTTGGCTGTAATTAGTTTCTTGAGCCATGTTCTTCTGTTGCACACCTGGCGGCAGCTCTCTCCACTTGAGGCGCTGCCCTTTGCCGCTGGTCACAGCCAGTGGGGCAACTGAACCCCTGCTCACTCCGTCCCCCGAGCCACCGCTGGCCCCTCTGTCAGCTGTTTCAACATTGTCCTTTTTATCCCTTATTATTATTTTCTTTTTAATTTACATACAGTAAAATTCACTCTTTTTGGTGTACAGCTTTATAAATTAAGACAAATGTATATAGTTATGAAACCACCACCTCAATCAAGATACAGAATAGTACCATCATGGTAAAAAAATTCCCTCATTCTGCCTCTTTGTAATCAATCTTTCC